TCCATCCCCACACCTAACCCCAAGTCCCATCTCCCTTCTTACAGGTGCCATTTTGCTCTTCCCACTGGCTTTAGGGCAGCAGTTCTCAAACTGTGGGTCCGGACCCCAAAGTGGGTCATGACCCCCTTTGAATGGGGTTGCCAGGGCTGGCTTAGACTTGCTGAGGCTCAGAGCTGAAGCCTGAGCCCCACTGCCCAGGGTCAAAGCCAAAGCCCGAGGGCTTCAGCCTTGGGTGGCGGGGCTCAGGTTGAAGGCTCCCTGCCTGGGACTGAAGCCCTTGAGCTTTAGCTTTGGCCCCCTGCCCAGAGGAGTGAGGCTTGGGCTTTGGCTCCCCCAACCGGGGTAGTGGGGCTTGGGTTGGCTCAGGCTTCAGTTCCCCCTCCTGGGGTCGTGAAGTAATTTTTTTTTTTGTCACAAGGGGATCGCGGTGCAATGAAGTTTGAGAATCCCTGCTTTAGGGGATGCCTCTCTCCCCCTTCTGCAATCTTCCAATCTTCAGAGAGCCACCAGGAGGGGCCACTGCCCTCGCCCATCCTGTAGAGAGAATGCACCAGGATCTTCAGGGGAAGGGATATAATCTCCTCTTCCTGCTAGCACAGGGCCCAGTCCCATTCACAGACTGGGCTTTGCTGTCCTGGGCCATGCCAGTCAGGGATAGCTCCATTCCTGTAGGCAGGGTTTGCCTGTGATAGGGATAGGGAATCTTATCCCCAGGGACTGAGGTCCCCTCAGCCAGCAGGTCCTGAACCAGCAGTGCTCAGTCTGAGAGTGGAGCAGCGCTTGGCCGTACTGGGTGGGAGGAGAATGTCCCCCTCCCGTGAATATCCCAGAGCTCTATCTATGGGATTTAGGGGGCAGTGGCCACCCCAAAAACTGGAAGATGCAGAGACAGAGTCTATTTTAAGGTCATTTTACATCACTTTATGGAGGGGGAAATGACCTCAACAGACTATAGAATTCAGACTGTTAGGTTTATCATGTATTGTCATTAAATAGTTACATCTTACATCATGAGAAAGAACTCTGAAGTATTTTTGCACTAGCCATTGGGTGCATTGAATAACGTGACTCACTCATAATCCTTGATAGTTCCTTTTCTCATAACCACATTGCTCCATGTGGAACCTTTAGCAGAAAAAGGAAAGTGATGTAGTGGCTTGTAACAATTCTGGAAGTGAGGTTCAAAATAGAACTCCCCTTGCTGTGCTGACCACTTGTTCAGCGTATACCCTATTTCAATAAAAATGTTTATGAATGATCGTACAGTAATTCCTCACTTTACGTCCTAGTTATGTTCTTGAAAAATGCTACTTTAAGTGAAACAATGTTAAGTGAATCCAATTTCCCCATAAGAATTAATGTAAATGTGGGGGTTAGGTTCCAGGGAAATTTTTTTTGCCAGACAAAAGACATTAGATACATATACAGTATAAGTTTTAAATAATTTTAAACAAAAAATTTAATACTGTACTCACCAATGATGATTGTGAAGATTGGTTGAGGGAGGGGCGTAGTTGGTCGGGGCACGGGGGCTCACCCCATTCTGCCCACCCAGGGCTCCTGCTGGGAAGTGGGGTCAGGGCACAGGAGCTCACTCTGTTCCGCCTGCCTGGGGCTTCTGCTCCTCTCCGCCCGCCTGGCATTCCACCCAGGGAATGGGGTCGGGGTGCAGGGGCGCCAGGCGGGGGTCCCTGGCAGGTGGCTGGAGCCAAACAACATTATAAGGGAACACTGCAGGACTTTAAAGGAGTATGTTCTCTAATAGGTCAGCGACCCAATAGCAAAACAACATTAACTGGGAGGATGTTAAGTGAGGAGTTACACATCTACCCCGATATAACGCAACCTGATATAACACGAATTCGGATATAACGCAGTAAAGCAGTGTCCGGGGGGTGGGAGGTGGGTGGGGGGGAGAGAGGCTGCACACTCCGACGGATCAAAGCAGTTCGATACAACGCGGTTTCACCTATAACGTGGTAAGATTTTTTGGCTCCCGAGGACAGCGTTATATTGAGGTAGAGGTGTACTGTAAAATAAAAATTAAGAAGAGAGGAACTCACAAGATGTATAAGTAACATAAGCATCTCTCAGGGAATGTCTGCACTGCAGAACGAGCCCCATGACAGTGAGTCTAAGAGCCAGGGTTAACTGACCCGGGCTCACATGGCTCACGCTACAGGGCTAAAAATAGCAGTGTAAATGTTTGGGCTTGGGCTGAAGCCCACGCTCAGAAACCCAGGAAAAGGGGTGGATCTCAGAGTCCAGGCTCCAACCGGAGCCTGAAGGTCTACGCTGCTATTTTTAGCATTTATCTGCAGAGGCATGTGTTGGGGTGAATATACAATGAAAAAGGCTCATCTGGTTTACTATAAATGGATCAGAGGTGCTAGCCTTTACTGCAGGAATCAGCAAGGAAGTAGAGTGGGATCAGCAACTGACTCTAGTTTCCTTCAAAAGGGAGAAATGAGACATGCTCCTGTGCTGGCAGCCCTCAAATGGAGCAAGCCATTTTGCGATTGGGCAGGCTGAAGTAAACCTAGCTCCTTTTCCCTTGCAGTATGGTGCATCAGATTGAAGAGTTTGGTTGGTTTACTCGACTTAGCTGTTAGGAAAATGAAAGCTGTGTCCTGTTCTTGTTAGGTATGAGTAAGAAGGAGTTATTGACTGGAGAGCACTATCTGGTTTTAATTTTATTACCTGCAGCTTTCAGATAAGTGAATTCCAAAGCACTATACAAACTCACTGACTGTACAAATACTGAATATATGAATGTCTCTGTGTACCACTAAAGTACAGCCAGTTCTGGGATGTGCCACGACAACTGTTTACAATGCACAGCAATACTACACCATCATTTAATGCAGGAAGTGAAGATAGTGTCACAACCCAGTGGCCCCCTCCCTCAGGGGGTTCCCTGCGGAGGCAGATCAGCATTGTATGTTGCTAACGCTGTTGCAAGCGTCGCAAGGCATTTGGGAAGGGTTAAAGGTGTAAGTGTGGAATGAAAGGTTTCTTTACATGCGGCGAAAGGCCGGAGGGGGAGGAAAGGAGAAAAGAACGGGTTAACTTGATGTTCCAGCTACACCTGAAGATAAGGAGCTGACTCCAGCCCAAGGCCATTGCACACTCTGCTACCTGCCAAGAAAGAAGGGGGGAGTCAACCCCCCACAACCAGCCGTGAGAAAGGAGAGTGGCTGAATAAATTGCAGGGGGCCGCAAAAAAGGAGTGAGACAACAAGGTCAACAAGGGAAAAATAACTGTCTCACGGCTGCTGGTGTATTTTGGGGAATGCTGAGAAGGCCACAGAAAGCCAATTTGGACTAGTACAAAGAGCACCAGGAACAGAGGTGAACACCCCCAAAAGAAAAAAGGCAAACACCCCCAAAAGAACCCAGGACTTAAAAACCCTCCCGAGAGCCAAAGCAAGTTGGAGATCACAGCAGACCCTGGATGACCTGGGCCCAGGACAAGAACTCCTGTCCATCCCTCCCTCTCTTCTTCTTACGTTACACCCAGGCTTGGCCAGCCTCGGGTAGTGCGGGTGTGAGTATGAAAGTGGGTTAGGGCTTGGGGCACTAACGCCTTCTTTCTTCCTCTGAGTGACGTGGGGAACCCATCCCCAAGCACTCACTGCTGTTATTTTATTATTTTATTAATAAGCTTTAAATTAAAACTCAGACCCGTGGTGTGTTTCGTCATCTCCTCTCCAAACAATCCTGTGACCTCAGCCTGATCACGTGACGCCTCAGGCAGATTGGTAACAGCAATCTGTCACAATAGCAGTTCTCAAACTCTAACCTGTGGATCACTAGTGGTCCATTACACTAACAGGTGGTCTACAGGGAGTAACAGGTCACAGGGTGCTGGTTCTTCTCCTTGATTCCAGCAACTAAATTGCATTGAAAGACGCTTAAAATATTAAATACCCCACTAATATCACCTGCCTATGTAAGCAACTGCTGTAATTATCAGAGGGATGTACTATAAATGCAAACTGGAGTGGAAGTGGTCCCTGCAATCATGAATGGAAGGAGAGGTAGTTCATGAGATAATCATTATTAAGATGTTGTCCCACTGAAAAATTATCCACTTATAACTGAAGGGGGAATTTAAATAGGCAGAATAGAATTATCCATGTCAGAATTTGGGCTGGATTTACTCTACTACTCTCACAAGGAGTGCTAGGAAGTCAAGGCCTCAATTTTCACTCTCATCCATAAGATAGCAGATCAGCATTCCCCAACACTACAGGGATGGGATGAGTAATGCCTCAAGAGTGTGCCATTTACTAAATGCTACTTCCTGCAGTACCTGACTTTTCCCCAGAGGTCTTTGCTATTCAACTACTGACCCAGCATGATTTTACCTGGATTATGAGATCACATATTAAAATGCTATTGCTGCAAGCCTGGCAAAGGCTATAATAGGACTTAACAGACTTTCATGAACTAAGACTATTCAACAATAAAAATAAGTAAGAAGAGCACGTGCAGTTACACTAGCTGGAACAACAATTACCTCATCTCATGCTTCATGGCACAAGCTGACCAACCTGCAGAGGCCAGGAGAAAAACAACATTTACAATTAGGTGTGCTATAGGAGGGATTCACTCTCCTCCCCGAGGTACCTAGCATTGGTCCCTGTTTGAGGCACAGTACTGGATTAGATGAACCAATAATTAGTTTCAAGAGGGAAGGAGCTGGAGTACCAGACTAGACAGAATACATGCCTGCTACAGTATGGAAATCCCTATATTCAGTTAGGAATATTGAGAAAGCCAGATGCATTGCCATTCATACAGAATCTGTGTTTGGGTTCCAAGTTCACGGGGGGGGGGGAAGAGGGTGTTCCAAGGGACAGCACACTCAGCCCTTAAAATGAGCATTCTAGTTTCTCACAAGTCTCATCTTCTGATAGATATTTGGAATAACATCCAGTCATGCTCCAACAGAAAATAAAATCAGAAATTAAATGGGAACTATGCCAGAAACCCAGTTCTGCATGAATTATTTTAATGAACAAATATCAGGTGAGATGAACACCTGACAGGGAGCTGCTGACAACCAGTACAGGGAGGAGAATGGCTGACAACAAGTTGAAAAAAAGGAAAATTAAGTGCAGTAAAAGTACTCCCTCCCCCTAAGAGAGCCAACCAAACCACTCCAGTAATTAACAAATCTTCTTTTCCATTTAATTTCTTAACACAATCGGGTCGCAAAATGTCAATACAGTGAACAAGCCACCACAAAGAGAACTGGCAGAAATCCTACTGGACTTCACTCTAAATTTCTCCTCACGCAGCTTCCGAGACAGAGACAATAAGAATGGAAAGTAATGGAGAAGGAGGTGACCTTAGAGAGAGAATTCTTTGCTACCCAGCCTGTCCTCAGATTTTGGATCTCCCTCTCCAGACCCCCAGTTTATTTCCATGCTCATTGTGCTGCAGAGATCACTTTCTCAGTGCTTCTGTGAATGCTTTAATCCCATGACTGTGAAGGTAGCAGCAGTCAGTTTTTCATAGACTAGGAACATGAGTGCGGCAGTGAGGACCGTCTGCAGGAGCTTTGCTTCAAGGCCTTTGTAGAGTCCCACCAATCCAAAACGCCTAAGAAGAAACAGGTTTGACAAATGTGAAGTTTTCTCTAAGCAAATTACAGCACTAATGAGAAATGCTGCATTGACAGCTCTGCATGCTGAAGCTCTTCTTTTATCCCTAGAAGAGGGATAAAGCATGGGAAACTGAACAAGCTTCTCACACACTCTACCCCACCAAAATACTTCATATTTTGTTGAGGAGAGTAAGTCAATTTCCGTGGCATAGTCAACTTTTGGCCTCCATGCAGAGATTGTTAGCAAAGAAGCCAGTTAGGATGCAGACATTTGCCTGTCAGACTTATCGGCCAACTAACTAACAGCCTTAGAACAGCATTGTCCTACAGTGACTACTAACCTATTACTAATTAAAGTTAGAAATTAAATTACAGACACAGAATTAAGATTCCTTATCCTATTCCCAGTCTCCTAACTACTTAGATTAGAAACATATGGGTTCAATAGAGAAGGGTAAGCATTCTTTGCAGGAAACTTAACTCTTTTCCAGAGGAGAGGCTGACTGAGTTGCTATCTATAGAATCACCTCACTCTGAACAACGTACAGATATTTAATTTGAAAGTAGTTACTTGCTCTCCCATCCCTGTTTTCAATATTCGACAAGTGGAACTGGGTTACTAGTTCAAGTGGGTGAAAATAAATAATGGTCAGGCCCAGCAATATTAACTGCCAATATGTTAAAAACCCATTCTTTTGTGGGAGTGTGCGTCATTAAGACAGAAACTAGAAAGCTCACCTTACTCTCTGTCGAAGAAGATAGAGAACATTCTTAAGACTGCCTAGTGTCCGGTTTTCGGGGTTCAATCTGTGACGTCCAAACTGAAAGGGAAAGGAAAGAAACAGCGTTAACAATTTATTGGGATTATTTCCTCCTAACCACAACCCTCATTACCAGACCGAGAACCCTGATGAACAGGTAAAATGCGCAGAGGCTACTAAATTCTATGGTAATTTCTAAGATTGATTATCCTATATCTATTTTCACATCTTCCAGCTTGTGCTGTTGTCAAAAGGTTGCAATAAGTGCAGAAGAGTGTAGCCAAAGCTTTTACTGCCCTGAGTTTTACTGCCCTGAGTTTATACTGAACTGATATCATACCTCCAGCAATAAATCTTTGTTTGCTAGAAGTGAAATCTTATTGATTTTAAACTCCAGTTCCATTCCAATCATAAACACGGAACTACACAATGCTATTATGTTTCATTCACTCCCTGGAAAACAATTCTCATTTTCAAGATTATTTTTTTAATTAACAGTCCTGCAAAAATCAATCTGGGATCCGAAATTCAAGCTGAGTTCTTTCTGACTTGTACATCACTGAGTTAAAGATTCACTAGGACAGATTATGCCCTCCCATCTATGCAAAGCTGTTAACTTCAGTGAAATTACACAGGTGTAAGCACGGGCAGAATTTAGTGCTAGCACTGGAACTTCATTTACAACTATATTGATGATTAAGGCTAAGATTTAATCACGGGTATTTTTAGTAAAAGTCATGGACAGGTCACCGGCAATAAACAAAAAGTCACGGCCCGTGACCTGTCCATGATTTATACCATAAATACCTCTGACTTAATCTTTTTTTTTTTTTTTTTTT